AAACTGTGTGTACCTGTAATATTTGAAGGACTTCTTGGCTAAATAGAAAAAAATCCTTAGCTCTCACTTTATTTTCTTTGGTATCTGATGGGCTTTCCTCCACAGGTATTGATCGACTCTATTCTGCTATGAATGTTGCAGTGAAGAATTCTGAAGCCACTCTCAATATTCTCCTTTATAAGTTACTGATTGTTTTTGCCTGTATGCCTGAAGGATTCTTTATTATATTTAAATTCTATATATTGTAGTAGGATATGTCTTGGTGGTAACAATTCTGGAGCAATTTTCCTAGTAATCATTGTGTCCTTTAAGTGAAATTGCTTTTTTTTTTAAGTAAGCTCCAGGCCCACATGGGGCTGGAACTCGTGACTTGGAGATCAAGAGTCATATGTTCTACTGACTGAGCCAGCCAGGTACCCCTTAAAAAGAGAGAGAGAGAAAGAGAGAGAGAGAGAGAGAGAGAGAGAGAGAGAGAGACAAACCAGAAACCAGACTCTTAGCTATAGAGGACAAACTGAGGGTTGCCCGAGGGAAGATGGGTGGGGGGATGGGCCAAATGAGCGATGGACATTATGGAGGTCACTCATGATAAACACTGGGTGTTATATGTAAGTGATTAATCACTAAATTCTACACCTGAAACTAGTATTACGCTGTATGTTAACTAGCTGGAATTTAAATAAGAAGTTGAAAAAGTAAAAAACTAACGAAATCGCAAATCGTCTTTCATTTCGAGGATGTTGCTTTCTTTAATAATATATTTAAATATTCGTTCTGTTCTGTTACTTATTTTTCTTCTTCAGGATCTCTAACTATGGATGTGTTGCATTGTTTGCTAATCTGCTCCATCTTTCATATTCTCTCTAACCCTATTCATCTATTTCCAGTTCATCTTGCTAGCCTTTCTCGTTTCTGCACTCTTTCCCTTGCTGTATTTACCTCAGTGTGTATTTCACCTTGTAATTCTCCCATATTCACTCTTAATTTGTCATAAGATTTGCCAGCTTTGGGTCATCTGCTCCTATTATCTCCTCAACTATCCCCAGGTTCTCAAATTTGTGCCTTGTAGTTTTCATTCATAGAAGCAACTCCTTCGTTGCACCCTTATGAAAATTCATGGCAAAATGTTAGGACAGATTTTTCAACTTCTCCATGGCAACACTGTTATGGTATGTGTTCCTCAACAATTATTACATTTTGATGCTCCTCTGTAAGGTTTTTCCTATATTATTTTTGTACTGATAGTATGCCCATTCTTTTTTTTTTATTACTCATCATTAACTGAGTTAAATTTTTCTCCTCTAATTTCCTGGGAAGAAAAGAGGGGAAAACAGCCATTTGAGATTTACAAATGTTCTGCTTCTTTGCTGATGAAGGGATAGAAGGCTTTTTGCAAACATTACTCCTCTGTTTAATCTGTGTGTAGCCCTACATTTCATTCCACAAGACATGCCCAAGAGGGTTCTTATCATCAGTCCCACTCACTCCAGTCCCCACACTGATTTCTGTAAATAAGATGCATACGTTAGGCAAGTCAAGGTGAGCAATTTACGTTCAGAAAGCATACATTTCTTGAGCCTGTCTACACTTGACATGCTTCTTCCTTTCCTCCTTTTGCAGCTTATACTCAAGTTTTGGCTTCTCAATCCATTGTTGTCACCAGGGGAAAGAGCTTTTGCACTTCAGAGTGAAACTCTCACTTTCAGGAACAATATTTTTATCAATACTTTCTAAGATTAGATAACACTGGGCCCACTGTCTGCTCTTCCTCTCCTTACTTCCTCTTCTTCAAGTTCTGGTTGATCTCAGCAGTTTGGGCATCTTGTACAAACTCTTTGGAAACTGCAGATTATCTATCTCCTGATTTTGCTGAAATTAGAATTTTCAGATTTCTCTTTTTTTGTTTTAATTCTCCTTGTTGTTTTGGTATATTTTGCAGGAAGAGAATGGGAAAAATTGCTGGTTATTGTCATCATCACATTGTAAAATCTGTCCACGTATTCAGCAGTACTAACCACATGTATTACGTGGTACATATATGATTTTTCAGAAGTCCCCACAACCTCAAAGACATTTATTACTCTCCATTTTCCCCCACCAATAATAGCAAATGTTTATTTTTAAAAGTTATGGCTCATCAAAACTCTCGCTGGCCTGAAAAAATTCTACTGTTGCCTTTTACTACAACAAATATTATTTTTTTCCGCTAATGCTTCTTTCTCTTTTTTCAACAACTGATATAAGAACTGGCTACAAACAAAGCCAAATAATCTGTATTGCTTTATCCCCAATCTTGTCAATGCCTACAATTTAACTAATAAATATTTCTTCTTTGGGCTTGAAATTTATCATCATTATCATCATCATCATTATCATCATCACCAAAAACATCTTTCCTGGTGAAAAAGCACTTTTGTTGGATCATTAGACTCTAACCTTCAAAAGGCCACGGTTACCATCTTTCTTCATTGTGATATCCCCAGGGCCTAACATGGTGCCTGCCTACCAGGGGTGCTTACTAAATATATGTATTCAATAAATAGATTAATGATACTTCTTTTGCTAACCAGCATCTGGTAGTATATTGCAATAATTGCTCAAAGATAGGGTTTTCAATAGATCTGACTTCAGAAAATTGCAATGTAAGAATTTGTTTTCAACTAAGTAAATGCAAAGCGTCAGTGTTTAAAGTGAAGCTTTTTATTTCATTCATTTATTTATTTATTTGGCTTCCTTTGTTGTAAAGAAGAACACAGTGCAACACTAATGCACATGTAGAAGAGGAAAGACATATAAAAGGGGGAGAATGACATGATAGAGGTGAAAAGCCAGTTTTTACCCAGCGTGAGAATCTAAATTGAAATCCAAGTCCTCCAGCAGAAGAACGGGAAGACCATTCCATCTTTTATCACCTATTCTTGTCTCTGGTGGGCCAAGTGGTTAGGGATGAAGAGTTAAAAATTTGTCTTGCTGTGCTCTAAATGTCATCCCTTCTTTTTGCTTGGCTTTAAGGCATTTTTGTTTCCACGTTTTGTTTGTTTGTTTTTGTCTTTTTCCAACGGTAAAACAAGACTATACAGACACTGCTATTACAGTTTCATAATCAAGTATAGGAGGAAAATAACAAAAATTCTCCAAGATGAATTACCTTAGTGAAGGAAGGGTAAGGGATATCTTAAACAGGGATGAGAAAATGGAGATTAAATTTTTGGTAACCACTTTCTGCCCAAGTAGCCATGAGGATTTGAAAAATTTACTGCTTATGTCTGCAGTCTAGACACTACTGAGAAATGTTAACGTCAAATGAGGTGCAGGCCCTCACCCACTATATGCTTCCTATGGTCTTCTTCAAAGAAGAATAGCATATGGTGAATTTGCATGGTGCAGTGCTGAACATCAGGAGACAGTAACACATGCCTTTCAAAGCTAAGGTATATCAGAAAAGTTTGATGTCTGCCGTTCCCTTAATGAGGAAGTGCTTCTCTCATTCGGATTATTAGGTAGATGTGAAACCAAATATTTTCACTAACAGATGTGTCCCACAGGAAAGATTCTAGCAAGTTGACAATAACCAAACCATCCAGCAATATGTTTCATACGGACATTGTTTTTTCTCATGTGAATGTATATGGGAAACGCTACAGGTTTTTCATCATTTTAGGGTATGCCTTATTGCATTAAAAATGTGTCTTTGTACTCCATATACAATTGAGAGTATTGTAATATGGGTACATTTGTTATATAAGACACATTTATGTAAAATAAAGTGCCTGGTTTTCTTATACTACAGGATAAGATGCTTTAGGCTTGTAAAAAATGACTCAACTAACCGAAAGACTACTAAAATTACACACACACACACACACACACACACACACACACACACACACACAATCTAAAACTCTCTTCAGTGTGCTCACGGGGAGTAATTCTATCACGTCAAATGTTATTTGAGGAGAGTTGTACTAGACTTTTCTCTAGTCATACCTTTTACACACATAATTTACTTTGCTCTCTGCCTACCCTCAACTATCACGTGAAGATTATGAAACAGAATTATGGTTCATGGAAATCAAGTCAACAATGTCCCAATTGTTTCATATTTACTAAATGTGTGGATTCACCCCTCTGAGCTTGTGAATATAAAAGGCGCTAAATACAGTATCTATTTTCATGCGAGTCTTTGTAGTTTGCGAATAAACAAGAATGATTCAGTCTAACAGAGCAAAGAAAATCTACAACAGGAAAGCGAGGCCAACACGAGGAGAATTTGGGTAAAAACGAAAAGCTCTGCAGTAGAAAGATTGAGAAATATTTCCACTAAACGTGCTAAGTCGTGTCCCGGTTTTTTAGGACACGGTTTTTTTAGGGGAAAGGGAGGAAAACCAAGACAGAAGATAATGGACTGCCCCCGTACCCCTTAACATTTACAACCTCCCTAAAAATTGAAAACATGATCCCAGGCAATCAGGTCGTAAGACTTCTTTTCTTTCTTTCTTTCTTCTTCTTTTTTAACCTCTTTAACTAGTCAACCCGGGCGGCAAACAAACACAGCCACCCTTAACCAGCCACAGCTCTAAGGAGCTGGCGACCGCTGCCTGCATTGAGCTCCCTGCCGGCACCTTCTGGTCGGACACCCTGTGCCAAGAAGCTCCCAGGAAGCGAACCGCAGTAGGGGCATGACACACATGTCATGGATGCACATGCGAGAGCATAATCTGACCAGAACGGGGAGACAGCGAAAGCAAAGGCCCGCAGATCCCGGCGGGAGAGCCGCCGCAATGGAGCCGGCGGCGGTGTGTGCGCGCACAGGTGCTTCAGGCCAGTGGCGCGGGGAGCTGTCGCCGCCGCCTCTGGGGCTCAGCACTCTCACCAGCGCGCAGAAGCCCCGACTCCAGCCCAGCTTGGGTAACCCCCGGTCTGAGCTACTCGAGGAAGAGCCCAAGGAAAGGGCGCGAAGGGGGAAGGAGGGGAGGGGAGGTGGGGGCGGGGGAGGGAACCATCTCCTCATCTCGCATTTCTCTCCCCCGAGCTCTTCTGGTGGGAACCTTTGCTGAGCTCGTGCGCGCCTCCCGCCCCTCCTCCTCTCCACTCTGGGAGATCATCTCCTCTTCTCCCCTCGCTCGCCCCCCTCTCCCCTCTTTCCCTCCCTCCTTCCCTACCGCGTGCCTCCTCCCCTCCCCCTCGACTCCCTCCCCTCCGGCGGCAGCAGCAGTAGCCGCCGCTTCAGCGGAGCCGGAGATGGGCAGAGAGCGCGCGCGGCGCAGCAGCTCCGGATCCACAGCCCTCCCCGCCGGCAGCTCCCTGCGCCCCCGCCGCCGCTGTCGCCGCCCCGGCGTCCCCAGGCTCCAGTCCCGCGCCTAGGACAGCGCCGCCACCGCCGCCCGGCCCTGCCTGCCGCCTGCGCTGCGCAGTCCTCGCGCGCGCCCGGATGGCGCTTCCCTCCCTGGACCGGTGAGTAGCCGGGAGAGCGCGGGGGTCGGGCGCCCGGGCTGGACGCCCAGAGAACACCCCTTGCTTTAGGAGGTACCACAAAACCACCTGCTGTGATTCCTCAACCTCGAGGCAGGGAGTTCAGGGAGGGCGCTGCTCCGCGGTCTCCGAGGGGCTGTTTGATTTCAACTCTACCTGCTGGCAACCTGAACCCCCTCTCCCTGCCGGGGACCGCTGCCGGCAGCTCGCGGTCCCGCCTCACCTTCCAGCTGCCGACCCCCCACACTAAGCCTTAGCGTTGGATGGCCCTGACCCTCCCCGTCACCCGACGCGGGGTCTTCTCTGCCCTCAGGGTCCCCGCGTTTCCCTCTTCTGATTTCCCGCTTCTGTCAGCTGGCAAACGCCCCCGTCTGCCACCCTTCACCGGGTCTCTCGCCTGACAAAGCCTTCTCCTCAAAGTCCGCCTCTGACCCACCTTCTCTCCTTTTACAAAGCCTGCCTGGCTCGCGAGCCCCACTGTCCCGCCGTATTCCTTCGCAGAGCGAATGGTCCACCGGGTGATTTCTGACCTCATTCCCTCGACACGATGGTGCCTCTTTTCTGTCTGCTTTTCTGACAGTCACCTCCGGGAACTGGCACAGCGCTGATCCTGGCTTGTGTACAGTTACTTTGTTTCTTAGCACCTGGGCTGTTTAGGGTCTGATGTGATCAAGCCTGAAAACAGAAAGACAAAAACCAAAATAAAACACACACACACACACACACACACACACACACACACACACAACCTTTTGCGACTAAACTTTTTTGTTATTGTTGTTTAAAAGAACACACCTATTTACGCTGCTCAAATTTGTTCTGTTCATTTTTAGAGGCTTCTTAGCTGACACGGGGAACGCCTCTATTGTACCTGTTCTCCCGGAACTGGTCTTAGTTCCAGGTTGAGAACCATGCACCTGACTGGGTGATGAATCTTCTTCAGCAACGACACTATCAGCAACTCTTGAGGATAAGGAGCTTTTCCTTGAAGGAGAGGAGAGTGGCACAAAACTCACCCTTTAAAACCTTTGACTTTGCAATAAGACAGAGCCCTTATTTTTCTTTAGGTTTAATGGCTGAGAGTGGGATATAGTGAGATCAGAAAACGTGTGCTGAAAAGCTCCTGCACGATCTGAGCGCAGGTGTTGTGTTGTATCTTCGAATCCAGTCTTTCTGTAGAAGTTTTCTTAGGGCAGCTGCCCTTTCTTCTGGAACCATGTTTAACGTTTTAGTATCTCTAGTTGGCTTGAGGGAAAACAGAGAGTTGTGTTCAATGAATGAATATGAGGGAGATGAAGGATTTAAATACTAAAGTTCCCCGTGTTTTGAAATCTTAAAAACAAAACTACTCGCACACAATTTATGATTCAGTTTTGCAAAGAAGTGATGAAAACATATTAACTTCAGCATATTTTACTCTATAGAACTGATGGTCATAGACCTTTGTGCCCTAATTCATGCAGACAAGAGTATTCAGAAATAAATGTCAGAAACTTTAAAAGGTGCCCCATTTGAGTGTGTGCTGTGTGAATATGAATTTCCTGGTAACGTGATCATTATTATTTTAACTGATTTTGGAGAAATAAAAATTAAATTGGCTTTCTTGCTCTTGTAGTTGATGCAGAGAGATGTTTCCTCACTTTAAACTAGCAAATCTCTGCCTACACAAGAAATACAAGGGAAAAGTTGAGCAATTATTTAGAGAATTTGTCTAGTGAGGATTGCCTTAAAAGCTTCCCTTACCCAATGTCAACATTTAAAAAAAAATTTGTTTTAACTCAAACTGTATCTGAGCCTTTATTTCTCTTTTTATGTGACATGGGCAGAAATGCAGTGAGCAAGTCACTAACAAGCAATGCTTTTAAGTAATTGTGGAGAGCTGCATCTAAAGTCAGGAGGAGCTATGAGTAATGACTTTATTGTTGGTTTTCTAAATTTAGAAGTTCTCGTTGTTTAAACTTAATGCTCGACTAAGAAGAATATTCAAAAACAAGTTTTAAAACTTACAATTACTACAAATATGCACATGTGGTCATATGAAGTGGACAGATGGTAGATAAGTTATGAGCTGAATCAAAAGGTCATTTTTTTCCTTTTAATGCTTTTACCGTTTTATAACAGTGGATGCTTACTGTATGCAACGTGTCCAACAACACTGAATCTGTATTGGAAAAGATACACCCAATTGAATGAAAAGGAAAGCAAGGAGCAATGATGACTTTGATCAGTTATTGTCCAAAATTGTATAAATGATAAGTTCAAGTGATATATGCTAACATAATTCTAATTAATGCCAAATTCTAAACAATATCAGAAATGTCTCCACACACCTTTTGCGTGGATAAATGCTTATTTATATACATGCAATATTAAAATGGTCTCAGAATTGGCTATGAAAATGCAAGTAATTAATCTGCCATACATTCTGGCAGGAATTTCAGGAACTCTTGATTAACTGGAACTCAGGATCTGCCTAAATTTCAAGTCATTGCCATTTTTAATATTTTGCAAAACATCTAAATCTAACACTTGGGGAAACAAGGCATACCAATATTTGAATGGCACACCTTTCAATATCATTAAGTTGTATCTTCTATTGCTCACAATTATGTGCCACCTAGAGGATGGGATAGGTCTATAGTAAATGTTTACAATGGTAAAGAGAGATTAAAAAATTGGTATTAAGAAATTTAAAACTGCGGAAATGATATAGATTATTTCACCAATAGATTATATTATTTGAATGCTGTATGTGAAACCATTTTTTGGCCTTGTGTAGTGTGTGTGGGGTTGTGTTGAGGAAGAGAAAGCATGCAAGAAGGGAGAGAGAAAGGATAAAAATCTAAGGATACTTGTTTAAATTCTTTACTCAAGTAAAGGTAACTAAATACAGGTTCTGTTATTTTGGTATTTGGGATAATAGCTTTTTTCCAACTTGGATTTTAAGAAATGTTTCCTTAATTACAGCAATAACAATTCCCCCCCCCCCTTTTTTTTTAATGAAGTGGCTCATCTATTTTATTCAGTAAAACCTGGGGATTATAGCCAGACTGTTTTATGTCAACTAATTGACCTAAATAATATTTTAGACAAGTTTAAAAACAAAACCTTGAAATAAGGAAAACACAAATGTTCACACACCTAAAATTATATTAAATAAAGAGCCAAGTGCTTTCTTTAGTGTTCTATGAAGGATAGAAGATTCCATTGAGGGATAACTACATAAAATATTTTTATAGCTTAATATATATCATTTATATTTTTCTGTTTATATACCCATATATATTCAATTTTTATGGATTTTTGCATTTTTATTTATAATTCACAAGGATCTGCATATCATTAAATGCCTCAAATTTTATGAATTCAAAATAATCCTCATATTTTACTTGTACATATCAAATTATTACATCAATATTTACATATGGCTGTTTTCCATCTTTATTCCATAGGGGAAGGAATATTTAACCAAAAATTCTCAAACAACAAATAAGCAAAATGAATATTTCGAAACTAGCATGATGATTTAACCAGAGTTTAATAATGCTTTCAAAGTGATACTCTCATGGTTGATGGGGCGTGGGACGGAGGGGAGGGTGGGTGATGGGTATTGAGGAGGGCACCTTTTGGGATGAGCACTGGGTGTTGTATGGAAACCAATTTGACAATAAATTTCATATATTGAAAAAAAAAGTGATACTCTCATAAGATCAATGAAACAATTGAAATTCTTGCAGAAAAGAAACATTTAGATTCTGTGATTTAACATGTGACTGTGTGAAATTCATTTTTATTCATGTAGCTGCAAAGAGAATGTTTGGCATTTTTAAGGGAAGGAAATACAGACTTTAGATATCAATTGGAGGATGTAGAGGGCACTCCATTCTCATCATTTTACTATACCTTACGCAAGGCTTTTAAATAGTTAATAGGAACAGAATTAGAATCCAGGTCTCCTGACCCCATGCTGTAAATCTTTCTATAAAATAAAAATCAATTTTCCCTCTGATTTTATTTTAAGGTTATCAGGGAAAAATCAGTTTGAGTATTAAAGAACACTGAAAGTTGTGAAATGAAAGTCTGTGCTTCTTCAGGGAATGCCCAGTCCTGTGACCATCACAGTTGAAAGTAATATTTTTCTGCTCAGTCTTTTCCACCTTCAGGTTAAAGCTTGGGAAGTGTTTTGAAAATTTAACTGTTATTGGTTCACATAAAAACATTTTAACATTTTTGCTTAATTTTCATCATAAATTCTACACCCATAAGATTTCTTTAATTTCCTGGATACTTCCCTTTTAACTTTTAATAGATAGTTCATTGAAAAATATTCCTAAAAACAGATTTTGGTTTCCCTAAGTAAAACAGGTGAAATAAACATGTAGTTTCATCTCTCCCTATATTCAGTCTTTTTGTGATCACAGAGAAGGTTTATGTATCCGCACACAAACTTTTTGTGTTTGTTTTGTTTTGTTTTGTTTTGTCACTCTAGCCTGTGAATAGTTCAGATGGTCAGGGAAGATAAATTTGTTTCACAAAGTTCCAAGCCTGCAACTGAAAATCCTAGCACTTTTATCTTTCTCGCCCCTGATCAGACAGATCAGTGAAAATAAATGACTAAATCAATGGGAAACCATCATCATTACTGGGTAAAAGATAAACTTTCAAATGTATTCTTGGTGATGGTGCCTTATCGGTGCTGTCTCACCTAGGAAGAGCAACATGGTAATATAGATTGATTTCTCAATGACATTACATGGAAGAATACTGTGTTGTTTACGTGTGCCTGGGTTAATTGAATTTCCAAGAATCTGTGATTTCGGACTGCTGTGTGTCTGGTTCAAAAGCTGAGGGGAGGGGCACCTGGGTTGCTCAGTCGGTTAAGCCTGCTCCAACTTTTGGTTTCAGCTCCGGTCATGATTTCAGGGTTTGTGGGTTCGAACCCCACACTAGGTTCTGTGCTGACAGTGTGGAGCCTGTTGGGG